GTAAGGCTTGGCGATTAGGCAAATTGGGTGTCCTTTTTGGCGCAATTGAGTAGACAGAGGGACAAACCGTTCGCCCAGTCAGTTAACAATTAACAATGCTAATTCCCTGCCTGCCAGACGAATACACCAGCCTATCTGCCTCGGCTCCCCATCCCTCTTCTCGTACCCGTACCCGTACCCGTTCCCATTCCAGTTCCCGTACCCATTCCCGTTCTCGTTCTCGTTCTCGTCGCGTCCTCCTTCCTGCCCCCGTCCCAGTTCCTGTTCCCTTCCCACTGCCTTCGCGACCGAGTTGTCTGCTGTCGCATACACACGTGGCAGACAGTCCCACGAATCTCCGTCCACACGTCGAAAAAACCGACAGGTGATGTCGGCCAAAATGAGCTGTGTGTTATTCAAACAAGGACTAAAAGAGCTGAAACAGAGTGGATTTCATTCGTTCACAACGGGGAGTTGAGAGTGGAACCAAGACAGGGTGGGGATGGGAGTGGGGAGTGGGGATAGTGGGGTCGGTTGTGAGCGGGTACGAGATAAAAGGAAGTGAGCTAATCGTGAGTGAATGGGTTGAACAACAGTCGAAACATGCAAAGACCCAAAATGGGCATGAAATTAGTGTTGACATGTCTTCGGACACATTTGGCATTGGTAATGTTAAGATTGAGAGTTGGCCGGTTCTCGAGACGAGTGAATCTCCTCTTGTGTCTTGTACTTTGACTCCACGGCATTGCTTGTCTATCCTGTGACCACAATGTCAACTCATCAGGGCATTTTAGTCGCTGGACGACGGGAATGAGGCGAGGACAAGGAGGCTTATCGGCCAGTCTAGCCAGCTTCATACAATTTTGACCTCGGCCACTCTCATCCCCTCCACCCGTTAGTTTCAATGCTTCACGGGCTGCTCTGGCCCGGTTTCGTTGACGGCTTTATCGCATTAATCCTAACTTCGATAATTATAGGCAAACTGCACTCTTGCAGCGGAGACTTTTGGTAGATTCTCTGAAGACGAGGTCAAAGATAACCGGGATCATGCAGATGCCCAATTGGGCCGATAGACTAACGGGCACCAAATTGTATGAATGTCTTTTGTGGCGAAAGGCATTCTTTCTTCGTCCAATCGTCTTGGTCCAGCATCTCGATTGAGGTACTTGGCCAACTCAGCATGCCTTTGTCCGCTTGTCAGTATGTGAATGCATGAGGCCATGTGGGGGCTTGTTTGTGCACGTGTTCGTGGGTCAGTTCCATGTGCATGTGTATGCACAGGCAAAAAATAATAAGAGAGAATAGGAAGAGTTGAAAGATTGTGACAGACGGTCTGGTTGTATTTTTAGGTATCAAAGTAAAAGGCTCGGCAAAGAATATATTCGCATACTACTCAACTTAATTTAATGCTGACAACATTCACTTCGCGCCCGACTCATGTATAGCATCAACTCGGGTCAAAAGACATATTTGCAAAATGGCATTCTTTTCAAGAATTTGCATGAAACCTCACCCAACCACATGCATCAGCTGGACCTTAGTTCATCAAATCGGCCCAGCTATTGCACATATCGCAGGGATCCCATCATTCGAACAAGGAAAGTGAACGTTGACTGCAAATAGGTGGAATAGATTAAGGAGCGCCTCGTAAGCCCGACTGCGTCCAGTTAATTATGCAATATTCTGACCGGTTAGAGTGAAGATAAGCCGAGTCCGTGCAGTGGTTAGGGGTGGCAGTGATTTGTTTGGATAGTGTAATGAAGTTCTGCTAGTCAGGCCTTATCAAGAAGCGAATGAGTCGTAAATATACCCGCACACTGACACATTTAGACGCCTACACACGCGTCTAGGCACATACTAGTCTGTAGGAAACAATCGGATGTGAGGAGTCCTATTTCACACTTTCGTGTGAAACAAGGGGAATCGAACTTGGGTAGTGCGGGGTTTCTTCTCGACATATAATCACTATGCGATAATGCAAGTCATGCTTCCCACAAATAACATTTATTAT